ACAGGGTCTTCCTATGTACTTCAGACTGGCTTTGGACTCAAGGTGATTCTCTTGCCTCATCCTCTCTGTGCTACTATGCTAGGATTACAGGTGTGTGCCACCATCCCCTGCTCAAAATATAATTTTAATTCAACTTTGATTTAGAGAAAATAACTTGACTCAACACTGAAGACTGTGAATTAGTACCAAGCAGCTCGTGATGAAACTTGTTCTATATTATGATAGATAAATCAGTGTAACAATCCAGAGAATAGACAGTGATGCAATTTGGTGGGAGGAACAGCTCTATTCACTGGGTAAAGATTTTTCAAAGAGCTGAAAAAGCTGCTTTGTTTAGGTCTTAAAATAGGCATTCAATTCTTTCTGCACATTAGTCACTTAGGAAATACTAATGTGTGAGTGCAACCCTAATAAAATGAACCTCAACCTCCAGTGGTGGGGCCAAGTCTCTGTAGTTATGAAACTCCCCAGGTAATTCGGACATACAAGCACCATGAGAATCACTGTTATATAAGTTCCTATTATTATCATTTCAAGCAGAAGGACAGTTATTTATGTCAACTTTCCTGTCACGCTGACTGAAAAGATTTCTCAACACTAGTCACTGTCACAAACATGGCACTTTTTGAGGCTTCACTAGGAAACCTTAGTTATAAGCAGTCATACTGTCCTGTTTGAATATGAGATTCTAGTTATCTTGAGACCATTCTCTAGGCACCCAACATTTTTCTAAAAATTTTCTAAAAATTAGCGGAGCTAATTTAAGTAATTTTTATTGTAGCTATAGACTTTGACCCACAAGTAATACACTCCTCCCTTGTGTTGCTAGGAATTCAAACTCAGGACCTCACATATGCTAAGCATATTCCCAGCCTAAACTACTTAAGTTATTTATTCTTCAGGTATTAACTTTTAATGTCATTTCTTCAGGGAAGTATCTTCCCCAGGTGACAAAGCTAGCTTCCTATTTTAGGTTTCCATAACAAAATCTTATATATATATATATATATATATGTATGTTGAACGTGACTTAAATTTACATTGTAAAATGATTAAGTTAATTAACACATTCATTTACATATTAATTTACATACTTTTACATAATTATGTCTGTGTGCGCTATGATAATACTTAAGATGTTTCTTAACAAATTCCAAGTATGAGACCTTTACATGTACTAAACATCTTCCACAGTAGATAGTAAAATGCCCAGGGCATGGATTATATCCCAGTGTCTGTGCTGGGCCTAGCATGCAATAGGAAATGGATAAATATTTGTTGAGTAAAGGAGTAAACTTATTCCTCCATGGAAAAGTTGTAAAGGAAAAGAGTAATATAGAAGGAAGGTACTGTAATGTGGGGTGGAGGGGAAACACTAGGTATTATTGTTTATTGTACTCACCTTTTCACAGAGAGTTCTTGAGAGTTGGCATTATGCTTCTTTTCTACTGCCCACAGTGCCTAGCACAGTGGTAGTCATTTGATATACAGTGGTACCTTGGTTCATGAACTTAATTCTAATGTATGCTTGCAATTCAGTTGCAACCAGAATTGCAGAACAAATTCTGCGACCAGAAATGTGGAAAGAATTAAGTTCATGAACTAAGGTACCGCTGTGTATTTATTTTGCTAAAATCTATAATGTTACTCGCTTTTGTGTCATAAATATAGTTTTCCTTAACTTTAGGCTATTCTATAAATAAGCTATCCAAAATGAAATATACCAGAGTTTGAGCAAATAACAAGTTGTATTTAACAGAAGACAAGAAGCAATGTTTAGGGAAAGAGAAAGCAAGAGCATTGTATTTAGATGTAAGATTCTGAAGGTAAATCACTTACTTTCTTCCTGCTTTAGTCTGCCCATCAATTCAAGGCTATTGATAAAATCAAAATACTGTAACTGAGAAGGAAAAATCATAATGTTAACACTAACCTGAAAGTTCGGACAAGACTTTTAAGCTGAGTGTAAATATCTCCTAAAGTAATCTGCAGAGGACCCAAAAGTCCAGGCAATCTGAAAATTAAAAAAAAAAAAAAATTTCATTAAAAAAAAATATGACTTAATTATATAGAAACATTTTTGGGGGTTAAGCTTATCTCTGGATTTTCCATAGGCAATACTGGTACTTACGTGGAAGAGTATGATTTTAAATAAACAGTGAAGCTAAATTATGATTAGTTAGAAGTCTTAAGTAAATATTTTATAGTAAATCTACACTGTACTTTGTAATCTGTTATAAAGCAGTGAAATGCAAAATCATTGTGGTTACTCTCTGTATTTTTATCATAGTTTTTCTTACTTGAAGAGCAATTTGACAATACATAAACATTTGAATTGTGAATAGTTTTGATTCAATAGTTTTACTATGAAAAAATGTATCCTAAGGAAATAATCAGATAAATATTACTCAAGTTAGACGCTTACTGTTGGGCATGGTGGTTGGTACACACCTGTAATCCACCTACTTCGATGGCTAAAGCAGGAGAATTTCAAGTTTCAATCAAGCCTTGACAACTTAGGAAAACCTTGTTTTAAAATTAAATTTTAAAAAGGCCTAAGGATGGGTGAGATTATGAATGCTTGTTGAAATCTGTTTAGTCAGAAAAAATTGGAATCAAACGTATCAATAGGTGGTTGGTTAAATAAATTAGGATATAGACATTTAATAAAATAGAACTTTTAAAATAATGGGAATCTGTCTTTTAAAATGTGGAAAGATATGGTAAAGGCCAAGTGAAAAATACATACATAGTATTATCTCATTTTTACAAAACTACATAATGCTTTGATATATATTACATATCAAATATATTTCATTCCATCTAGATTCATTCCTATATCAGAGAGAACCAAAGAGAATGAGTATATATTCATCATATATTATACATGTCAGGGATAAACATTAAAATATTGTGATTATCACTCAGTGGTGCGATTACAGATTATTTTCACTTCATTCACCATTTCTGAATTGCTAAATCTTCTCAAACAACCATATATTATTTTTTAAAAAATATATGAAAAATTTTGCAAGTTTCAGGCATGTTCCAAAATTAATAGTATGTATTTCCAGATTCAACATTTCAATATTTTGCTATATTTATTTATTTTTCTTTTCTTTTTACTTGGAGTAATATTTTATTTTGTATTTTTTTTTTTTTTTTTTGGTACCAGGGATTAAACTTGGGTCCTGGTGCTTGTGTTCCTGGCGGAACCACTGAGCCAAATCCCTAGCCCTTGGAGTAATATTTTAAAGCAAAGTAAATCCCTGATGCCTCGTTTTACAATTGGTTTATTCAAATCAGTGACCAAAAAAAATCTTCCTTAAAAAAAGTCCAACTGCTTTTATTTTTTAAAATTTTTTTGTTTTTTTGAGATAGAGTTTCACTATGTATTCCAGGCTGGCCTTAAACTCACCATGTAGCCCAAGCTGGCCTTAAAACTTGCAGCAATTACAGGCATGCACTACCATTCCTGGTTCCAAATGCTGTTATAAAGAACAGCTAAAAAAAAAAAATCCCCATCCCATCATAATTAGTTTTTTCACTGCTTTTTGTTCTTTCTTGTCTTTAAGCTATTCCATCCCTTCTCAAATTCAGTGCTTGTGCCATTATCAATAATACAGTCTTCTCACAGGTTACTTTTGGTAATCTTGTTTCAGCCAAGATCCAGAAGGGGCAGACTGTTTCAATGACATGCCTATGCCTATATGGTTTCAAATCTAAAACAGGATACCTTCATTAGCTAAATAGTGTAAAATAAATTCGTATGTATACTCAATACATACTGGTATGGACAATCCATTCCAGCCTTCAAAAGCTAAAGTCACGCCTGATATCTTCTCGTATTAAGGATCAGATAGATGGTGACTATTTCACAGAAACAAATATGCAAGTACAAAGACCAGATAAAATACAAAACATAACATATTATATATGAAGAGTACAACCTACAGCAAGCACTCAGTATTAATTTTTAAGCATTTATTCAAAATATAAAAATTATAGTAGCTTTTCTTGATTCAGTTTTTATTACAGAACCAAATCAAGAATCAAAGCCAATCAAAAAGGATTTCAAATATGGCTTAAAAATAGTATTTTAAAGTAAAATATTCATACCTCCCATTGTATCATTACACTTTGATCAAAATATTTTATTACGGCCTCAGAAAATGTTATTTTCAAACTACTACAAAATTAAGACTTTTGCATATTTACAACTCTTTAAACAATGATATACTTTTTCCATGTTTTCCAGAAGCTAAAGAAAAAAAATGCAGACTGATAAATTTAAGATAGCTCTTATACTTCTGGAAAAAAAGTTCAAGTTCTTTGTGGCAGAAAAACCAAAATAGTAATTGCTAAGTGTCTTTTATGAGTGGGCTAAGTTACAAGAACAATTACTTCTACCACAGGAAGCTTAAAGCTAAAGTGCAAAGATGAGCTGAACAAAAATTCAAGTTGTTGAGTGTGAAATAGTTCTATAAATACGCTGGCAGAGTTTACAAACGGTTAAAACTTGTTAATGGCCCTTTATTCCCTCGTGAAACTGATGTGATACATTTGCCACAAATCAGTATTTAAATGGTCTAGATTTTTTTTTTCCCCCTGACTTCACTGGATTACAAATGTGAGTGAGGTACAGTAGTTTGGTTTTCTACTCCTATAATCTCAACCTTCCTCTTTACAGTGTTCCTCTGTGTCTTCCACACAAAATCTTGTTTTCCTGGAGATAATATGGTAAAAATCTAAATTTCACTGGTAAGGAAATCAACATATTTCAAAATGTTCAAAATTTAAGGATAAGGGCCGGGGATTTAGCTCAGTTGTTCCGTCGCCTGCCTTGCAAGTGCAAGGACCTGAGTTCAATCCCTGGTTAAAAAAAAACAAAACAAAACACACACACACAAAATTTAAGGATAACATTTATCAATTATGAGCTTATAAATATCAAATTAATCTTAAAATATCATAAAGTTGGAATAATCATCACATACTTACACTTTACTCAATTTTTCAAGTACGATGCGTTTTCTAATCTGGTTCTGGGAACTTGAATCTATCAGTGGAAAGGTATGATCATGCTGAATCAAATGTTTCAACAAAGCAAAATATAAAAATTAAGATGATATTCTTTCTTTTATAAGCAGTACAAACATTAAACACTATGGTTTATATCTCTGGTACCATAAGAAAACAATTAGACTTAAATTTGAGTATCAGCTCTACCATTAGGCTGATGTGAACTTGAGTCATTTGCTTTCTTTTGAAAAGTTAGTTTTCTCTCTGTGTAACAGGGATATTAATATTTCCTTTATGAAATGAGCAAATGTAGGAGAGTTAAAATATTTAAATGAGCTTGGTGGAATAGCTCTGAATCTTTTCTGTACAGTTCTCCAATATTCTACTGCCCCCGTGTTTTCTCTATGACCATCCAACATCTGACTGCCCATTTGCCCTTACCAAAAGATCTCAGAATTTTCCTCTGTAATTGTCTCTCCATTCCCTGTGCTTGGATTGGATGTGGTGTCTGCTCACCTTTACCTCCCCGCTTCCTTGGCTTTATTTAAAAAATGTTTGAAGACCCCCACCAGAAAAAGCAAACACTATAAGTATATTATGGGATGTCTGCTTTCACAAATGACAAGTAAAATAATTAAAATCAACTCTATGAACTGAAAAAGCTGGGGAACAAAAATCCCTCCCCACAATTGTTTTAAAGTATGAGAGCTAACAAGGCAGTAAAATATAATGGGCTGGCCAGGGATTTAGCTTAGTGGTAGTACTGCCTGTCTTGCAAGGGCAATGTCTGGAGTTCAATCCCCAGTACCAAAAAAAAAAAAAAAGCCTGAGATCCCGGAAAGGGTACTTCAAGAAATGGCCCTAATTCCGAGAGGCAATTTTATTTATTTATTTATTTATTTTTGGTACTGGGGACTGAACTCGGGTCCTTGCATTTGCAAGGCAGGCAGCAGAACTGCTGAGCAAAAAAAAGCCAGATCCCGGAAACGGTACTTCAAGAAATGGCCCTAATTCCGAGAGGCAATTTTATTTATTTATTTATTTATTTTTGGTACTGGGGACTGAACTCGGGTCCTTGCATTTGCAAGGCAGGCAGCAGAACTGCTGAGCTAAATCCCCAGCCCCAAGAGAGGAAATTTAGGTACTGAGAACCTAGGCAGTTTTCCTAATAAAAATGAGAGTTCAGGGCATGCCAGAAAAGGATATGGGCAACCCTCCTCAAGCTTGAGACTGGAACTTGAAAGAAACACACTCAAAGAGTAAAAATGTATAGAAAATAGATGGGTTCTTATAGGAGCTGAATAATATCTTTAAATCATCTCAAACCCTGACTAGATAAAGGTGATCTGGGACTGTTAAAATCAAGTCAGAAACAAATCCATTCTAGAGGAAGAGACCAACAGCCTGGGGCTCAGGTTATCTCTGTAAATTTTAATATACAATGTTTGGTACCTAAAAATCAATACAATAAAAAACAAAAAATTTTTTTGTACCAGAGATTGACCTTAGGACCTTGTGTTTGCGAGGCAGGAGTGATGCCACTGAGCTAAATCCCCAGCCAATACAATCAAAATTTGAGAACATTAACCCATAGAAATCAAGCCCTCAGGAAATCCTGATCATGATGTTATAAGCAATATTTAAAGTAACTATTTAACATAGCCAAAGAAAAGTGACATTTAAAAATTTCAGCAAAAGAACCACTGAAAATCCTAGATATAAATAATATATTTAAAAGTAATAGCTCAATGGATAGTCTTAATAGCATAGAAGAAATGACAGAGAGAACAGGTAAAAAAAAAAAAATGCCTAGTATGAAGTAGTCACCTCTCACACACAATGCAAAGCATAAAAAGAGTTTAAGTGGGCCAGGGATTTAGCTCAGTGTTGCCACTGCCTGCCTTGCAAGCACAAGGCTCAGAGTTCAATCCCAGGTACAAAAAAAAAAAAGAAAGAAAGAGAATAAGAGACATAAAAAACACAGTTAAAAAAGAGGAATATTTAGAGTATGAGGTAGAAAAGAGAGGGGAAAAAGGAGGAACAATGTCTTAAGAAATAGCAACAAAGGCTGGGGATTTGGCTCAGTGGTTCCGCCACCTGCCTCGCAAGCACAAAGACCCCAGTTCAATCCCTGGTACCAAAACCAAAACAAAACAAAACACCCCCAAAAAACTGGTTTTGGACATTAAGAAAAAGAAATAGCAACAATATTCTAGAGCTGATTAAAAAAATCAAGTCATAGATTCAGATGTTGCAACAGCCAAAAGGATAAATATAATTATACATAAGTAAAACATCACAAAATTGATGATAAACAAAGAAAAAAATCTTACAAGTAGCAAGAGGGAGAAAACTCACATTTTCAAAAGGAGTAGCAATAAGAAAAATACATATGTAAGCCAAAAGAAAAGGAAATGATATTTTTAATGGGCTTGATAATCCAGATCTCAATTATTTTGGAAAATACTGCTCAAAAGTGAAAGCAAAATAAAGAATTTTCTAACAATCAAAAGTGAGAAAATTCATTATTAGCAAATGACACTAAAAGAAGTTAAGGACATCTGCTAAGCACAAGCCAAATCATCATAGATGGATAAATGATGATGCCGGAAAGAATAAAAAAATGAGAGTAAATAATTGGGTAAATCCAACTGAATATCAGCTAGAATCTTGTAGAATTTAAAATAGAGAATAAAAGTACCAAGCAAATAAAAGAAGGTAAATGAAGTCAAAGGTTCTAAGGACTTAATTCTCCAGGAAGCAATGGAAATATTAATTTATATTAGACTTTAGTAAGATCAGCAATCAGTTTAAGATAAGAAATTTAGGTTAACTATGTAATAATAAAAAAATGTATAAAAACAAGATAATAGAAGCTAAATGACATTCAATCCAAAAGAAAGAACATAAGATATAACCCAAATATACCAATTATGATATTAAATGCAAATGGATAAAATTCTCTACATAAAGGACAAAGATTGTCAGTCCAGATAAAGACTGTCTTTGAAAACACTAACACAAGAATGCTAGGGTGAAGGAGCGGGGTGTGGTGGCGCAGGCCTGCAATCCTAGCACTCAGGAGGCTGAGGCAGGAGGATCGCTGTGAGGAAACCAGCCTGAGCTACACAGTGAGTTCCAGGTTAGTCTCAATAGTGAGACCCCATCTCACCCCCCAAAAACACCCCCCCAAAAAGCTAGGTCAACAAAGCTAAGGGCAAGGAGGGATCTAATAGAGAAAGGTTACCAGAAAGAACTAACAAACTTATATTTACACCCAATAACATGATCTCTACTAAAAAAAAAAAATGCAGAGTTTAAGGGAAAAATAACCAATCCATAACTACAGTGACAGACTTTAACTCTCCTGCCAGTAATTGATAGAATGAGCAGATCAAAGTAAAAACAACAGTTGGTTTTCAAAGGTTAATATGTAGACATATCCTCTGGAGATCTTACTAAAAAGCATATTCTAATCAGAATCTGGGGTGTGGCTGAGTCTGCATTGTTAAATTCTCAGGGAAGCTGATGCTACTAGTCCTATAGATCACAATGTTTATAAGGCAGTGTGCTGAAAAGTTAAAGAAAATCATAAAGTTTAATGAACAATACAATATTCTAAACACTTAAATAACATTCATTTTATATAAAATTTTCCAGAACTGACAAAGCTATTAGAACAAAGGAAAATTATAGGCAATGCCAAATGTATTTTGTACACCAGAAAGCTGATCTGTATGGGCTGTATCAATAGGATGCCTTGCTCTTTGGCTTTTATTTGGATTCTGCCAGTGGAGAACAAGAAGTTTAGGGGGTAAGAGGGAGAAATTACCCCCACCCCCAGTATAATATTCTTTCCTGCTTGGTCTACTACATGCAGTACTTCCTTGGTTCAAGACTTGGTTGGTTCTTACTTTTTTCCTTCAGATTTAGGGGTGGTGAGGGTTCGCAAGGAAGACCATACTTTCATGCTTGAAAACAGTTCCTTTATTAATCTTTCTTCAAATTAAACTGTTCCATCTGCTTTATGATGGGACTAAGATCAATTCAGGTGGCCAACCAAAAAGGCTAATCTCGCTCATTCTGAAAATATGTGTAAAGATTCAAAGACAAGTATTTAGGACATCCAAATCTAATATTATATAAAAAGACTATTATAGCTCAGTAAAGTTGAGTTTAATATAAAAATATAATAGTAAAACATAAACCCAATTAATTATAAAAATCACAATCCTCTTAATAGGAATGTGAAAAATACTTAAAATTCAATATTCATTTACAATAATAATTATTATGAATCAGAAACAAGGAAATTTCTACAGTCAGATAAAGGGGATCTATGAAAAGGTCCACAACAAATATATTTCTGGTGAAATATTTAAAGCTTTGCTTCTAAGACAGAGAATGAGAAAAGGAAACCCATTGTCCTAGATGTCTAAACCACCAGCAGACTCAAGAAAAAGAAACTGGGAATAAGGAGTGGAATGGGGAAAATAAGCTCACATAATGATCACATATGTAGAAAACCCAAAAGAATTTACAGAAAAAAATTTTTTTTAACCTGAAGATCAAATCCAGGGCCTTGTGCATGTGAGAGGCATGCCACCAGCCCTACAGATGTATCAGTTTATTGTAGAACTCTATTTGAACAAGTTTAGCAAGGTTACTGTATAAAGTCCATACACAAAAAATGATTTTCTTTAGAAAAATGAGTTAGAAAAAAAAACTTTAATGACAGCATTTATAACATAAAAACCAAGCACCTAGGAATAAAGAAAAAGAAACATATTCAAGACCCCTACACAGAAAACTATCATTATTGAACAATAGTAATACAGACTAGACAAGTGGAATATGTTCAGAAGTTGAAGATTATAATGTAAAGATATCAACTGTCTTCAAATGGATCTACACACAAAGCTAACTATAAGCCCAATAAAAGTCCAAGCAGTCTTTGATAAAACTGCTTCTAAAATGTGTAAGAAAAGAGAAAATATAGAATGGCTGGGGCAATCTTGAGGTAGATGGAGAGATCTATTCTACTATAATTAGCATGGTGTTAGCTCAGAGATAGACAAGTTGATCAATTAATCCACAAATTTATAAACATCTCATTTATAGAGCACTGAGGAAAAGGAGAATCTTCAACCATGGGGTTGGGAAAATTGGATATGGGAAAGCAGTGAGATATGACACATCTTACCATACAGGAAGAAAAAAAATCTAAATGTGAAAGGAAAAAAAGTTTCTAGAAGATAAAACAATCTGGAATAAGCAAAAATTTCACAAATCAGTAACTAAGGGGAACAATTAGAAAAATGAGTCAAGAGGCTACCATGAGATTAAAATGGTAAGTCTTACCATAAAACCAAAAAAGGTCTTGAAAATTGCTAAGCATAGTGGCACACATCTGTAATCCCAGTACTGATGGAGGCTAAGACAGGACGACTGCAAATTCAAGTCCTTCCTGGGCAACTTGCTAGGACTCTATCTCAAATTAAAAAATAAAAAAGATCTGGGGAGGTAGCTCACCTCTAGGTTCAATCCCCACTACCACAAAAACAAAACAAAAAGACTTAAAAGTTGAATACATAAAATATTTCTACTGGGCATAGTGGCACATACCTGTAATTATAGCACTCTGTGTGGCTAAGGTGGGATGACTGCAGGTTCAAGCCCAGTGTGGGGAACTTAGTGAGACCTTCTCAAAATAAAATTAAAAATAAGGGTTGGGAATATAACTCATTGTGAACCCTAGGATTCAATTTCTAGTACAAAAAATAATTTTTATAAATCAAGACAAAAGCCCCAGATAGTCTGATAAATGGAAAAAAGACTTGAAGAAGAGACTATCCAAATGGTTAATAAGCAAACATTTCAAGCAATAGGCATGAAAGAGTGTTCATAAATTGGAAGACAAACATAATGTAACCAACCAAGCAACTCTATCAGAATAGCTAAGACTAACACTATCAAAAACCGGCAAAGAAGTAAAGGAAAGTTTCATACAGTGGTAGTACAACTATAAACTGTAGCCATTTTGGAAAACTGTTAAGCATTATCTAATAATAGTTGTACATATGCATATACTATAATCCAGTAATTACAGTACTAGCTGAAGTTCCTTCAGAATTGTATGAACATTAGGAGAGACATGGACAAGAAAATTCACTATAGCACTGTTTATAATAGCACCAAACTGCAAATAGTCTAAATGCCCATTAACAAAAATTGTAGTCTCCCCTTACCAGGGGTCTGACTTTACACGGTCTCAATTGTGGTCCAAAAATATTACATGGAAAGGTCCAACAAATAATCAGTAAGTTTGCAATTCATGATGAAATCTTGTTCCATGTAGCAGAGGACGTGAAGCATCCTTCAACCCAACATATCCAACTTATACATGCCCTGCTAGTCTCTTACTCACTTGGCAGCCACCTTGGTTATCAGATCAACAGAGGTGGATATTACAGTACCTGTGTTCAGGCAACCCTTATTTTACTTAGTAATGGCTCTGAAGTACAAGGGTGTAGTGGTAGCAATTTACATATGCCAAAGAGAAGCTTCAAAGTGTTTTATGTAAAAATTCTTGACTTAAAGAAAAACTATAGTATGCTGAGACTGCCAAGATTTACAATAAGAACAAACAATATTGTGAAATTGTGAAGGAGAAACACTCACACTAGTTTTGCTGTCACATCTCAAACTCCAAAAGCTTCATCAATAGTGCATGGCAACTAGTAACTTAAGATGGAAAAGATGTTCTAACTTCTAAGTATAAGACATGAACAGAAAATATGTTCCAACTGGCAGCAACTTGTTGGGCCAGAAAACATTAAGCCCATACCTAGACCTTAGTGAGGGATATCTGAAACTAGTGACACCAAGCCGTTTACTGCAAGGGACCCTGACACTGACTCCGGAATTGATTTGGACTGGATAGGTTGCATCTGCCAATGAAGAAGCTACTGTCACATTTCTGGTCCAGTTGATTAAGCAGAAAAGACACCATTCAAAACAAGTCTTCAACTGTGATGAAACTGGGCTCTTCTAGATGAGGCCCAGTAGAGCCTACATTAATACAAGCACAAAGATGGCAGCTGCACATAAAACATGGAAGGACAGATAACTTCTGGTATGTGACAACTAGGACATGTAATACAAGCGATAAGAACTCACGCACTCTCAAAGAGAAAGCAAAATTTCTCTGCCTTTGTTCTAGCAGGATAATCAGAAAGTGGAGGTGATAGCCATCTTGTTTGTGGAATGGTTCTGCTGATGCTTTATCCCAGAAGTGTAAAAATACCCAGAAGAGGAAGGGTTGGAATTAAAGTCTGATTTAATAAAAGGCAATGTACCTGCCTGTCCTGAATCTGTTAGCTATTAGAGTGAAAATGTCATAGTTGTTTCCACCTCCAAATACAACCTTCCAATTTCAGCCCCTTTATCAGGGTATCATTTGGTTTCCTAAGGAAACATATATCCACCAGGTATTTGATCAGCAACAGAGGCAAGGCCTAATATGGACATCATAATAGTGCTAGAAATCATTTGCCATTACTGACATAGCAACATTCGTCAAAGCTGCAATGGATCAGTTGAAACCAGAAACTGTAAATGCCTCCTGGAAGAACTTATGGAGTGAAGTCATAATGATTGTAAAGGTTTCATGAGGTTTGATGGAAAAGTTAGGAAAATAACTCATGCAGTATGGTGGATAAAGATTTACCAACATGTCTGATGAAGTGGAAACTTAATGAAGACACTTAAAAAGCATAAACAAGTAAGGGACTAGAGAAACTTTTTGAGTCATCTACAGAGAAAGTGGAAGATGAAGAAACTGAAGCAATCAGCAGTACTACCACTACTGAAGTTTGCTCAAGTGTCTCAACTCAGATATTAGAGAACAAAATTACAGAATATGAACCTTGAATGGAACACAGCATTAAAGTCACCTGTATCACTGCTAAAGAATCACATTTCTAAAAAGTTTCAGCAAAATATACCTTCAACTATCAAAGATCCCCAATGATTAACATTATCTGCTACTGACATCCAATGACTGACATTATTATGACTGACATTGTTATAATGATCCAGGATCACCCGAAGTACATGATTTTCCTGACACATTATCAGAAAGTGAATAGCAGGCTAACACACATCACAATGCCTACATCATTCACTTCATTTCATACATCAGATAGGTACCATACCATTGCTCATCATCACAAGAAAGGTGAGTATGGTAAAATGTTCTGAGAAAAACTACATTCATGTAACTTTTAGTACAGTTATAATTTTTCTATTGCTATTGTTGTCAATCTCTTATTGTGCCAATTTGTAAATTAAATGTATCGTAGGTGTGTTCAGTGATGGCAAACCTTTTTGAGCTTTCAATGACACAAACAGGTGCTGTGGCATTCATGCCACCCTTGGTTTAGGAAAAAACATACAGGATTTGGTATTCTCCCTGATTTCAGGCATTCACTGGTGGTCATGGAAGCTATTCCTGAAGGATGAGATTACTATATTCATATAATGGAATGCACAGCAATGAAAGAATGAACTGTAGATACATACAACACAAATGACTCACAAACATGACACTGTATAAAATGGACACCTAACAATATGTGGGGTTCAAAAAGTGGCAAAATAATCTGTTATTGTAATAGTCATTAATTTTAGAAAGAGGTAATGCTAACAGACATTAGTGGACATCTGTTTATTTGTAATGATCTGTTCTTGAATATTCAATGAGCTGTATTTCACTATTTGTTACTTCTCAGTGACACATTTTAAAACATGTAACAGAAGAAAAGTATTTTAGGCGGGGCTGGCTTTAAAGTTGAACTTCCACTGATAGTCTGCCTCATCCTCCCAACTGCTGGGATTACAGGCATATGCCACCATGCCTGGCTAAAAATTTTTAAAGTTTTACTATATTTCCTCTTCTGCTCTCTTTTCAATTTTTTTTTTTTGGGGGGTACCGGGGATTGAACTCAGGACTTTGCACTTGCGAGGCAGGTGTGGTGTCACTGAGCTAAGTCCCTGGCCTTCAAATCTATTTTTAAATTTAGTGCCATGCTTACTCAGAAGTCTTTAGTAGTCAAGTTTTGTGATATAAACAAGGTTATTACCAATAAATGACTTTGTTTCACAGATAATACCTGTCAATCATAACTGGGTATGAGATATACTAAAAGGTTTTTCCTAAATATTAGTGGCATGCATTCATTTTCTACATATAATGACTATTTACTGTGTACCAATCATGCATCATGCACTGTAATAAGTGCTTTACGTAATTTCTAAAACAACTGAGCAAGGCAAGCTATTAATAGTCCCATTTACAGATGACAAAACAGATTACAGAAATTAACTTCTCATAAAGTAAGCAAATCAGAGTGGATATTCAAATCAAAATCTACCTGAATGCATTCTTTCCATTCTATATATCCATTATTTTCCCAGTAAGTCTCCTTTACTATATTATTTCATCTATAACTATTAAATGTGCATGGTGGCCAAATATTATCAAAATATCTTACCATTCAACAAGTCTATCCTATTGCATATAGTCACACTGGAAATAAAACACAAATACCCATGTAGAAATCTGAACAATCCATAACAATAACAAAAAAGGCCTCTTCAGAGTGTCCACCTATTATATGAAGAAATGAGTCTTAAGAAAATATAGTCTACTCTTACCACAGAAAAATATATTACATGTCTGTGAAAATTTGGTAAGAACAAACTTTATAATCATAAAACAGTAATGCCAATAGTGAAGATGGCATCTTAAATCAAAAGGCAGAATTACTGAAGCCTTATGAAAGTTTAAGATTTAATATACAAGGTTTGTTATGGTGACTTTTCCAAATGCTAGCAACCTGGAAAAACTCAAGACATACCTCTTCTGAGTCTTGTGATATGGTGGTTTCTTCATTCAAAACATACTGTCCTTTATAAAATTCCCTGATCCTCAGATTTAACGTTTCAGTTTCTTTTTTCAAGTTCTCATAACTTGGTAGTGGCTTAGTGGCTGTAACTGAGCCTCTGAAAGGTAAAGATTGATCCAGGCTATTCTGAGATCCCCTTAAGGAAAGGGAATGATCATCTGAGTCGGCGTTTATGTCATCTTCATCAAGTTCTTCATTAACTAGACAGGCTGAAGAGGGTTTCAGACATATAGAAGCATAATTTTGGCCATACAAAAACCTCAAAGTTTCTTCGGTCTTCCACTCAATCAAAGTCTCCCTCAGAACTTTAAGTAAGTTTGTCTTTGCAACTTCAGGACATACCTGCACTGAACTAGAAACTTGGTTTGATTTGGCAAATTTCTTCTTAAAGTGCTCAGCACTTTTCTTACTTATTCCCACAAGAGTTATTTCTGACATATTGTATTTGTTTTCAAAATTTCCTGATGCTTGTAATCCTTCATGTGAAGGACTATTTGAAGAAATCTGACTTCTGATTTTCTGAAAAGGAAGTTCACAAGTGGCAGCTTTCTCCTGACTACCTAATTTGCAACTGCTTAACTGCTCAGTGACTTCTACTACTATCTGTTCTTTGAGTGTAGAGTCGGTTTTTTGACCAGCTTTCTTTTTCATTATGCTTTTTTGGTGCAGCTGTGGCCCCATACCCATTGCATTCGGCCTCTTTTCTGGTAGAATGGAGGAAACAAAGTCTTGTTCATTATCACTGCTACTATTACTACAAGTGCTGGAAGAACAAGATTCACAATGCTTTTCAAAATGAGCAGGATTATCAACATCTGATGTTTTAATGACTTTCTGTAATTGCACTTCTCCTGAATGGCCACTGTGAAATAAAAGATAAATACAGTAAGTGTAATAAAAAGCAAAGTATCCCAAAATTATTTATAATTTGTAACTTTTAAAGTAGAAATTTTATTCCCTAGAAACAGCCTTATAGATACTGATAAACACATTTTAAAAGAAGGCTATAACTTTTCTATATCTAATATATATTTGCTATAGTTCTTTCATCGTTTTACCCATTCCAATTATTTTAAAATGGTTAAAGCAAAACGAGCACAACAAAACTTCAATAATTCTATCCTACTGAATTATTATGGCACACGTGTGCGCGTGTGCGCGTGTGTGCATGTGTGTGTGTGTGTGTGTGTGTGTGTGTGTGTATTTTTTTGTATTGGGGATTGAACTTGGGACCTTGTGCTTGCGTGGCAGACGTGGAACCACTGAGCTAAATCCCCGGCCCATCTGTCTATTGTTTTGTGACTGCTTTATATAAATATTCTTAAAAAGTTTATCTTTTGAAAATCGCTTTACTGGCTTTTAAAAAAACACATTACAGGAACTCTGTTAAAGTTTGAAAGCTGAAGAGAGATGGGTAAACATAAAATGCCATAGAACAAAAAGCAAAAGAAAAATCAAAACAGAAAATAAAGTTGGCAAGCTGACATTTTCCAATGAAAGACATTTAAATCTGAAGTTTTTTGAGAGTTCCAACAGAGCAACAATAAAAGACAACAATTGTCCTTTTGACTATATTTTTCAATTTTAGAGTTAGATTTGAATAAGATTAAGAATTATGAAAGAGTGAAGGAAAAGAGTAGCTTTGGCAATTGAACCCAAGACAAATTCAGGACAGGCAAGCACTAGCTCTCATGCAGACACACATCAGAACTTTAAAACGCTGGGACGAGAAAGTTTCTGGGTCAAGAAATATGCTGTGGGAAATGTAAAATAAAAAGGTAGGGGAAAATGCTGAAAGCAAGGTTGCAGATGGGAATGGAGAAAAGATGATACATTTTTTCAGTATTAGGTATCATTTTTAAAAGTTAGAATCTAACCAAATAGGGGACTACCAGATTAAAAAAGTATAATTTTAAAAATCAGAACAATTCAACTTTCTTATATTTTATACTCTTAGAAATGTAAGATTTTATTTTTCCTATACTAGGCTGAAGCTAAAAATTAAAGAGATGCATTAATAAACGTCTTACTTGTGGCTCAATACTACATGTCTAATAATCAGGAACATTTATTCTGAGAACTAAAGGGGGTGTTTTGATACAAAGCCAAAGATGAGCAAGCAATGCTATGAGGAGGATTTAGAAAAAAATCACAACCTGGAATTTATATTAATGTTTTAGATGTTCTTTCAAAAAAATTAAACAACTGATAAATCCTATAAAATAAAACGACAAAAACCTTTCAACAAATGTAATTGGCACAATCTAACTGACAAAGAAACACAGTATCTGAGACAGAGGCTGTGTTTAGATCATATTTCAACAGGTTCAATTAGACTTCCACAGTAGGAACAGCTGTACGATCAATCATACAGATCAAATACATCATTTTAACATCACAAAAGAAAAACCTGAACACATCAAACATTTCTTTCTGTGGGCCAGAATAGGACACTTATAACGCATCAGCACAGAAAGTCCAAGAGCTCATATCACCTCGGACACTCCCCATGTTCCTATTAATACGAATATCATATAGAAGGTAAGTGATACTGATTCAACCATACCTTTGTCCTTCTGTTAGCAGCTGAAAATCAGGTTGTCTGTGAAAAAACAAAGAAAATTAAAGGCAAATGACAAGTCAAATGCTTTCAAGTGTTTATTAGAATTATACTAGATAGAAAATATAAAAGAGAACAGTTAAAAATAAGGATATTTTCCTAAAAAAATAAAAAAACAAACTCATCAATAGTTTATCATACTCTCTCAGATAAAATTTATTCATTTTCAGAACTATGTGCCACATACCCACTGAAGTTTTCCTTGACTAACCGGGACAAAAGCAAACCACTCTCTTCTCTATAAATTCCAGAATCATTACTGTCTGTACAATTAATTAATCATGTATTTCTTTATGGCCTATAGTATCTAAATGTTTCACTTTTCATATGTGATTTCTTATCTAGGATAGAAGCTCCTTGATAGCAGCTTACAGTATGTTTTATAATACTCTAGTCAGTAAGTCTTTTAATTTCTGAGAAAGCAGTTATTATCGTACTATGAATGTGATCTATGAGGTATGATCGAATATATGGTGAATGTTTAAATGCTAAAAAACTCCACTAACTGAGACACATTGTCATTAATTCCCCTCACGATACTCCCCCTTGCTTCAAACATACTTAACTCCATTGTTCTTGTCATTTTCTGAAGCAGTTCTAAAAGTCCTCTAAGTATCTTCACTTGCACTATTATGGCTGCCTCAATGTCCCAAATCAATTCAGAATGGTTTACTTTTCATGGTCATTTTCACTTTGGGGAAGAGACAGAGGTCACATATTACCAGATCTAGTGAATAAGGTAGATGGAAGACATCATACAGGGTTTTTATTTTAATCATATGGTTTTTATAAGCCTGCTTTATTCACTGTTACTTTCAGTGTTATTTTTTATCAAACCTTGTAAAGACACTCACAAAAGAGGACTTCCAGAACTGCTTCAGAAAGTGGCAAGAATGCTAGGATAAGTATGTTCAAAGCAAGGAGCATTTTGAGGGAGACTACTGGCAATGTGTCTTACTACAATAAAAAATTTAAACACTTACAGTACGTATATTGTGATGACACATCGTATATACATTGAATGATTTAACTCTAGGAACAATTTGGCCATGCAATACCAGAAATCTCATTTGGCCATCATATTAAAAATGGAGGAATAGCTTCCAAATGTAACACACACACACACACTCTCTCTCTTTCTCGCCAGATATATGAGAGAACTGACAGCAAATGAATCTATGAGGACAGGAAACATTTCTGAAGTGACTCAGAAAATGCTCTCCCCCACTCTGGTGGTGCTGGGGATTGAAGTCAGGGCATCATGCATGCCAGGTAAATGTTTCTCCACTAAGCTGTACCTCTTCTAAAGACCGCACAACAGAATAAAAAGAAATATAAGGCCCAGGTATGGTGGCCTATAATACCAGCTACTCAGGAGACTGAGGCAGTAAGTTTCAAAATTCAAGGGCAGCTTGGGGGACTTGGCAAGACCCTACTTCAAAATAAAAATTGAAAAAGGGGACGAGGATTTATCTTAGTGTTCCCTGAGTTCAAATACCAGTACTTAAAAAAAATAAACACACATACACACTTACTTATATGGGCCTATGTGTACACTACAGAGAAGGTAAGGAAGTGCACATATAAATTTCAAGTAAAGAGTCCACTGACTTTGTGACACTGCAGACACCTTCAATTAAAGAATCAAATTAGACAGATGAAAGCAGAACTTCTTCGAATTATGACATTTTAAGGCTACCAGTTAAAAAATGCCAGTCACAAGTATTTTTCTACTTCATTAAACATGATAGCATTAACAATGAACTATTATGTAGACAACATATTCATCTTTTGTTCAAACATAGGAGGCACTATGGGGAATGGGCTCTCTTATCAATCTTCTCCTTATTTGTGGACGGCACTAACAGATTAAAGCATTCTTTCCATTATATTCCTTAGTACCACGTTATCAGGAAACATAGGATGAAGCCAGTATTTGACAATCTCTGCTCGAGAGAATGTTCTGCTGCAGCTCAAGAATCCCCTAGACTAAAATTACAAAATTAAAGCCATTGAGCAGTGAATTGCTTCAACGTGATTTATTTTTAATTCTTCCTTTGGCTCTTAACCAGGTAGATCTTTTTTCATGCATCCCAATTATCCTATTTGTCCTACTGCTTTCCACTCACTAAAATTCTAGTCATAGCAGTCTAGTATGATGGTACCTGTGAAGGTAATACTAGAAACAAGTATCATTATGTTAGCAGCCTTGAAACAAGCACAAATAATGGCTGTTCAGCAAAGAAATCCATATCCTCTTTCCAAAGGGCCTGTTTTACCACAATTTAAAAGTTAGGTTGTGTATATTTTCATATTAAACATTTGTTAAATAAATTTCTGTAATAATAAAAAAAATCCACACTGTTATACCAAATAATCCAAGAGAATATCTGTCAAGTACCGTGAGACATGATGCTCCAGGAAATTAGAGATGAAGGAAAAACTTGTGGCTGGGCCAATCAAGAAAAGTGTCAGAGAGGAATCATTTCAGCTGGGCTTATAAATCTACATCAGTTTGTAGAGAGAGATCTTTGAGGATTCTCTCTACCTTTTACTCAGTTTTACAATGAACTTAAAGCTGTTCTAAAAAAATGTCTTGGGCCAGGGATTTAGCTCAGTGATTCCGCCGCCTGCTTTGCAAGCGCAGTATCCTGAGTTCGATCCCTGTACCCACTCCCCTAAATAAGTCTACCTGAAAAGAAAGTGTGTGTGGGGGAAAGACATCAGATTGTATATAAAGGCATTTAAAGTTAACCCTATGAATTTGTTGAGATTTTATCCACATAGTCACACCCCCACCCTTTAAAAGAAATGTTATGCTGAAATCTATCCTATTTAAAAACAAAACCCCAAACCTGCCTTTAGTCATATAGCCCACCAGCCCTTTTCATTGTAAGCTTTCTTTAAAGAACTCTATACTCATCATTTTCAATTCCATATCTTTTATTCAGTCATCAACTCTCTGCCTCCTGGAATCTACATCCATTACTCCTCCAAAATGAATCTGGCTAAGATCATCAATTATCACTGGACTGGTAAATCTAAGGGATGTTTTTCAGGTTTGTTTGTTTTTTTAAGGGAAGAGAATCAGTATGAAAGAATCTCAACAGAGGAGAAATAAATCATAAGGCAAGGATCTTGGGAGAGAACTAAATCACTGATAGAGGAGGGAGCTGTATTAGAAATGAGAAAGAGAAGTCAGAGAACATATGAAGAAAATAATGTTCAAAGAGACACTGCTGAATGCCCTCAATTATTTCAATAAATTAGTACCTTAAATTATTTACTATAGCTCAGATTTAATGTTTAAGGAGAGCAGAAAAGATCTGAATGTATTAGGTAGCCAATAAGAAATTAAGGAGAGAAAATGTGAGCAATTGTGAACAAGGCCAAAAGAATGCAAATGTAGGCTTTGGTGCTAGACAAACCTTGTGTGTTTAAACCCCAAATCTCTCTATATGAGCCAAGTGTCCTTTCCTATCACTATATCTTTCTTGAGTCTCAGTTCCACCATCTATAGAATGAGTAATATAGTATTTCCTTAAGGATGCTGTGAAGACTGCATTAAGTGAGACAGACTTCTTAAAAGTATTAATGGTCTTAACTTGAGAATTCTCCCCAATAATGTTTAGCAACATAAACACAAAAAAGTAAAAAAAAAAAAAAGATGCCTTTGCTTGCAAAGGCAGACAGAGCAAAAGGTTAAAGAAACCACCTAGGATTGTCTTAAGAGGACAACACTGTAACAGCTGACAGAACTCAAGAAAATAAACATAATAAGGGTCTGCCAATCCAGAAAAACAAAGTTGGGGTATACAGGAGGTCAAAATGAGGTTAAAAACAGACTGATAGTTGCAGATGAGATGGAGGTTGTGGTTACAAACGGGAAGTTCTTATTTCGAGATCTTGAAAGCAGAAATAAGAATGAGATCTGAGTATGGCTAAATCAAGAGGTAATCAAAATGTAAACGTTATTGTAATGAACACAATTTAAGATCGTTTTATGAGAAATCCCCAGCTACACAACTTGATGCTCTTTCTTTTTCTTTGAGGTGTGTGTGTGTGTGTGTGTGTTTGTAGTTTTGGTACCAGGGATTGAACTCAGGACCTTGTACTCACAAGCCAGGCAGTGGAACCACTGAGCTAAATCCCCTGCCAAGCCTGATATATATTTGGTAACGGGGATTGAACTCAGGACCTGCGCTTGCAAGGCAGGCGCTGGAACCACTAAATCCCCAGCAAACCTGATGCATTTTGAAAATTAAAAGAAAACCTAGTTTCTAAAGATAAGAAAAATTAACACATGTAAGTGCCTACTACATGCTATGTGGGTTTTTTAAAAAATTGTGGTAGAGGGGCCAGAGGCATAGGTAGCTCAGTGGCAGAGTGTAAGCTTAGTATGTGCCAGGCTCTGGGTTCAATTTATAGCACAAAAACTAAGTAAATAAAAAATTTAAAAGTTGTGGTATGTGTGTGTGTGTGTATATATATATATAAAATTAAATTACCAAATCATGCATTTTTTAGGAATGTAGTTCAGTGCATTTACTTTAAGCACATTTATACAGTTGTGCAACTATCTCCAACCGTTTTTCATCTTTCTAAACTGTATCCTTAGTGACATGTATTATCTTCACACAACTTACTGTATTTTTTATAGGTAAGGAAATCGAAGCTTTGAGAGGTTAAGACTTTCTAAGATCACATAGCTAACAAGAAATAAATCTAGTTTCAAACCTAAGCTGGATTTCAAAGTCTTCAATCTTTCCACAGCATGTTGCTATTAATGTCAGAAAAAAAGACTCCATAAAAGTTGTGAGGACAGCACTTTTGCTTACTTTCTTGTAGGAATTCTATGTATTTTACAAACTATTTTCCTCTGCTTTAATTTTTCTGACTTCAGGCAAAGAAAACTACACTCAATGTGGTTTCTAGATTTTTAACTGTTTATGACTGACATTACTCTTTCTGGCTCCCAATTT